TTGTACTCCAGAGTGTCACCGAGTGGTAGGCTCAGGACTGACACACCAAAGCTTTGCACTGCAGACTATAGTGCACCCAACATATACTTGCAAAGAAAGATCTTGTTTAAATAAATATAGTGCCAGTGTTAGCCATCTCTCCAATACCAACATCTTACTGCTGTAAGCCTGATAATTAACTGAATTTAAAAAAAAAAAAAAATAAGTCACCTTTTATCCATCAGATGGCTCCTTGATGTAAAATGCATGTTCAATATTTAAGGAAGCTAGAATAAAAAAGACAAATTTTAGATTAATTAAAAGATTTAGTATAAGCACTTTAATATTAGAGATTTGAGTTCTTGATGCACATTTAAGTTTATTGGAATTGCTACACTAACAATTTGTTTTGTTATTTATTGGTATTAGAGGATACCACTTCAGACAGCTTATTAAACAGATCATATGCATGTTTTTAATAGACATGCAAGTGCCTCAATATAATCTATAAACGACGCAATCACTGATTTGCGGAGCACTCAGACAAACCCTTCTCACCACCTGCAGTCTGCCGGTAATTCCAGCTATTTTCAGGTTAAATCATCACTGTGCATATTCTGTAAACTGAGGATGAAGATTAGAACTTCAGTAGCTAGACTGGAAGAGTAACATTACCCACTTCAACAGGGTGATTTACTAAAGCCAAAATGAGTTGGAATTTACATTTAAGGTCAAAATGAGCGTAACTGAAAAATCCCTCAAGACAGCTTTGACTACATTAGCCTTAAAGGGAGAACAACTTTGAATTCCAATAATAACCACATATAAAGTGTAAACAACTCCAATACAGAGATAAACTTACCATATTCTTATACAGTTACTGAAAGCCTATATGGAAAGGAGAAAAAAAAAAAAGTCGTAAATAAGTGTCCAAAATAAAGACCGCTAAATGTCAATGACTTGCAATGCACTCAGACAAACCCTTCTCACCACCTACAGTCTGCCGGTAATTCCAGCTATTTTCAGGTTTAATCATCACTGTGCATTTACTGTGCCCTCCAACCAGCCAATAAAGTGTTAAAACCCCTTTAATCACACGATTCCAGCACAGAGTATACACTACACCTCCAATGGAGAGATCATGCACAGCAGGCAGTCCCCAAGGAAAGCACTGAACCAATAAGTTCCTATGGAGATTTCACTACTGCTGAATGTCCTCACGTTTGACTTCCAGCAAAATCCCAAAAACTGCAGTGTTTCACTTAGCGAAAAGTAAACTGCACCTAGACTATTTAAATGCGTGGAAGTGGTCTGGGTGCCTATAGTGTCCCTTGAAAAAAAAAATAAAAATAAAAAAATACGCCAAGACAGCTTTGATGCCAGTCAGGCTACATGAGCCTTAAACTGAAATTAACTTTGAATTCCCAACAGTAACCATATACAAAATATAAATTCCTCCAATACAGACAGACTTACCATATTCTTATACAGCCACAGAAAGCCTACATGTGGAAAAGAGGAAAAAAAAAAAAAACATTTGTAAAAAAAAAAGGAAAATTAAAGTGTCCAACATAAAGGAAACCCAATGTCAATAACTTGCAGAGCACTCAGACAAACCCTTCTCACCACCTGCAGTCTGCCGGTAATTCCAGCTATTTTCAGGTTAAGTCATCACTGTGCATATTCTGTAAACTGACAGGGGATGAATATGAAGCTTACAGTGATAAGGCCAGGGACTAAAAAAGTGGGGACTAAATGGCCGAATGGTTGTTATCTGCATCTAGTAGCTAGACTGGATGAGTAATGGCACCAACTTAAACAGAATTATTCACTAAAGTAAGAGTTACTGGGAATTTTAGGTGAATTCACAATTAAGGCCAAGAGTGCCTAACCACAAAAATCTCCAAGACAGCACTGCTACTTTAGCCTTAAATTGAAACCAACTTTAAACTCCAAACAATAATAACCACATACAAAATATAAACTGCTCCAATACAGAGATAAACTTACCATATTCTTATACAGCCACTGAAATCCTATATGTAAAATAAAAAAAATAAAGTATTAAGAAAAAAAGAGTCTAAATAAAGACAGCCAAATGTCAATGACTTGCAGTGCACTCAGACAAACCCTTCTCACCACCTGCAGTCTGCCGGTAATTCCAGCTATTTTCAGGTTAAATCATCACTGCACACTGTATAGTCTCCCAAACCACCAAAGATTTGACCGATTGATTTGAATGGTACAAATAAAAGTTAAAAAAAACCATTAAAGAGCCAGTCTACATAATATCACTAGTACAGTAGAGACATAAGGCAAATGAGGTGGGTTAGAGTGCCAGGGAATAGTCTGAATTTTGTCACGTTGCTTGAAAAGCATTAGACAAGAACTTACAACTTCCTGTTGGGGGCAGTGAGGTTCTGGGTGGTCATGGTGCTTAGGGTCACTAATTTAATCATCAATATTGTATCCAGCACATCCATCCTCACCTGCTATAACTTCCCTTTATCCAACGGAATTGCAATAGCCAAAGCAGAAACATCTAGCTAGACCCATACAAACACATTTAACATTTTGTGTTTGAAGTCCTATCCTACTAGCCAGGCTTTAGAAGTTACTCCCCATTGCAAGTCAGAATCCTCATATGGGGTGAGATTTGTACTGGCCAAGGCCAAGTTTTCACTCACAAATGATTAGTGGAAATTGTGAGTGCAGTTTTCCAAATAAAATGTATGTCATATGCAGTACTTTTTATACATTGAAAATAAAGAGGCACTCTAAGAAACATAACCACTGCTTGTTGTAGTGCATCATACCACATCTTTATGTCAAACCATTATTGCTAGAAAACCCCAAAACTGCACTTGGGAGATGTCCCTTTCTGAGATGCAGTGATAGTAGAATTAAAGGGGCAGTCTAAGAACCACAGCAGCACGATGCAGAAGCAATTGTTGCAGTAGTGGTGAAATTTCACAGTAGTCAGTTTGACACTAACTTGGGATCCCTCTCTCTACTGGCTACTTCTGCACTAGTAACCAACCCTCTGTGCTTGGAATTTACTGGCTGAAAATGAAACTGATATTGCCAATATAAAAAGGAGATTTTCGGCTTTAGATATATCTAAAGAGGAGGCAGGTCTGGAGATCTGTGGGATTCTGTAAAAGTGACAACGATTTTACTAGAGAGAATCTTATCTTAACCATATAATACTGTGGGGGGATATGGTGCCTAAACAGACCCTTTAATGAAGTAGTACAAGCAATACAAATATTTGGAGTAGGAAATGGTTTCATCCTTCACAGTCAGGAATTAAAAGGGGAAGGCTTGAAGTAGCAATAATGTTTGCAATTCATTGCCATCACAAGCCATCTTCAGGAAAAAAAAAAAAAAAAACACTATTGAGCATGGATACGTACCTCATGTGGTAGTTATAGCAGACATTTCAGTCAACTCCAGTTTCAATCTGCAGAGTCCTGTAGAAAATAAAAAAGCAAAATGAATTCACATGCAACAAAATCCAATCAGTAAATGCTCCTACCGCCATTCCAAAGCCTCAGATTTTACAGAGTCTTTCATTATTAGGTCAGACAGGGATAACAAAATCATCATAGGCTTTTTAGCTCATATTTGACTAATGCATTAACAATGAGGTACCTTTCATGTTAAAGGGGGAAAATATAAAATTTTGATTTGAAAACCCCCTCTTCCTCCACTCAGCCTCCTGTGAGACTAGGATAGATTACCTTTGGAAGCATTGGAGAAACCCAGCACACCAGCCAATAATGGCATTAATTTAGCCCTGGTCTATGAGTAGCATTAGCAGTACAGGATGTACCTGTAGCAGTGGTAAGTCTGCCTGACTAACTGCAATTTTTCTATCGGACACATATTGGCCAAGATGTTGAGACAAAGTGAAGATCACATATGGTATGTATGACACTTAAAATTAATGCCAGCCAAATTCAGAAGAGTTCTGTGCACATTAAAGGACCCCCTAGCTGGACCAGGCACCCAGACCACTAAATTAAGCTGAAGTGGTCCGGGTGCCTATAGTGATCCTTTAAAGTTTCTCAAACATGTAAGCTCAAATGTCCAAGAACATCTCCAAGATTCTTGTTTCGTCAACAATGCCATACTAATCTAAATTGGGCAAGACCGCTTTCAACCTACGGCATAGCAGGAAAAATAACCACTACAGCCCACTGTAGTTGCTATGGTGACAGCAGGGCATTTGTACCCTGCTTCCAGATCATCATTTAAAGAGTTTGGTCAGCCTTATAGAGCCGAGCATGGTTGCCATCACTGGGTGAGTGAATAATCCGAATGTCAGCCAATAAGCATGGCCCGATATCAGACTTGTTAGCTCTGAAGACATCTACCAAGCAAAGAGGAGCCAGGTGTGTTATCACACCATTTAAGCACAGCTTGACAAGTTACTTTGGAAGGGCACAAAGGAACAACCTGGACCATAACTACAACAGTAGGAGATAGATAGATATTGCTCTATGTTCCCTCAAATACAAAACATAAGGATACAGACATACAAACAATTGTTGTATAGCTAGTCAACTAAACTATTCTTTAAAGTTTAATTCTCACCGGTAATATTTCCTGGATGCAAGCATGCATAGGTCTAGGATCACAGGGGTCCCCATACGCTCTGAAAAAAGAAACATTAAACTGTTTAAGACAGATTAAAATAAAAGCATTGCACACAATATTAGATGTAATTTAAAGGGATAGTTTAGAGGCACTTCTACCTTCAGGAGCTAAAGTGATCTCAGAGTGGTTTAACCACAAAGATGCCTCCATCACCAGTCTGAAGGGTCCCCACAGTAACATCCAGCTCCTGACTGTGAGAAACATAGAATGTAAGTTTCAGGAAGCACTGAGCAGTCAACTGATGCACTCAGCCAACCAGCGAAGCTGCAACCCGGCAGCAATCAGCACTTCCAGAAACCCATTCAGAAGCCAGATGCTGCTTGGAGGACCTATAGATCGGAGTGTGTTGCATCTCTGGGGTTAAACAATTCAAAAAAGTTTAACCTCTGATTAAGATTAAACCCAGTATCCTCCAGGCACAATAACTTGATTTAGAGGAAGTTGTCTTGGTGCAAGGAGTGCTAACCTTTCATCTCAGAACATGATATATAGACTTATAGTCAAAGAATACACTTCCCCATGTTTTTTTCCCCCTCTACTCTCCAGGCCTACTCAACCAGCAGACTAGTAATCTCCTGATATTACAATTTCCTGGGACAGCCCAAGGCACAGATTTATGTATTTTAAACTGTACCATAAAAACTGTTGGGCTAAACTGCATGCAAAGGATGGGAGGTAGGGACATGTGGCTTATATATATTAAAGGTTTTAAGATTATATGCACATACCGAGATCAGTCGATTGTAGCCCTTTCAATACATCACTAATTCAAAACAGGTCAGTTTTTTTTTTTTTTACATCACGTATTTAAAGAAATGGTTTCAAAATGTAAGAGTACAAGTTTAACGTATTTGTGAAGATTAAATTCAGTTACCCAATATAAAGAAAACTTTACTAGGGTCATGTAAATTCCAGCACGTTGTAGGCCACTGATATTTTTTAGATATTACTTAAACAAAACAAAAAATAATAAAACCAATTAAAGAGCCTGTACTAGAACAGTGGGGTGTGATCTACATTATATAATACATCTCCAACTGTCAGAATGCAGGAAAGATTTAGACTGCAAAAGAACCCCCACTGTTAATAAATAGAACCTGTGGAATATTCACTCCATTCTATCTAAACATACAGATACATTATAAATACAATGCTCTGACACTTCACTGAAGTCCCTGCTAGAACATGGAACCATCAGAGAGACCGAATAACCGGCTTTGAAGACGGATGCCAATGGAGTACATTCAATCACTCACCTCTCTGCAGCAGCCATGAAAGCGGAAAGAACGTCTAGCACTGCGAATACAGTATATAACGTTGTCAAATCTCGCGATGCTGTGAAAAGCATGCCGGGAAACGTAGTCCCCAGAAGAGGAGACCTATAGGCATGCGATTAAACAGAGCATTGTGATTGGCTGTAAATGTAACTCATGGTTGGTCTGCTGGATGGAAGTTTGTCAAAAAAAAAAAAAAAATTGTGGAAGGCATTACTTTACAAACTATTCTCTCAATGAGTGATGCCATTTATAAGTAAGTTTCAAAAATAGATATCCTTTATAATTGTAGATTTCGGACCAACCATGAAAAAAAGATAAAAACCTTTAAAAGCTACCTGTAATCCATATTCATGAAGACATATAAATTAAACTGTTAAAATGATTACTCCAACCACCATGACCACTACTTTTTGAAGTGGTCATGGTGGTATGAGTCTGGATGTGCAGTGTTTCAGCCTGAAACACTCCCGTGACTGCAAAAAGGTCCAATCAACGGCTTTTCCCACCACATCCACTTCGGGTTCCATCACCTCCACTTCGCCATTCAGTGGATTAAAGGGACACTAAATAATCACCAAAACAACTTTAGCTTAATGAAGCCATTTTGATGTATATATCATGTCTCTGAAGTTTCTCTGCTCAATTCTCTGCCATTTATGAGTTTAATCATTTTGTTTCTGTCCATGCAGCCCCAGACACATCTCCCCTGCCTGTGACTGACACAGACTGCATAAAAAAAAAAAAAAAAATGGTTTAATTTTCAATTAGATGTTAACTTACTTTAAACGTTATCTTCTGCTCTGTAAATTT